TCTGTGGGGCAGGGGGGGTCAGTGGGGTGGGAGGGGTCAGGAGGGTCACCAGGAGGAGGTTGGGGGTGATCTTGACCCATTGACCCCACCCAGATCCATGGGGCAGGACAGAAGCTGTGGGGCAGGAGAGGTCAGGGGTGGAGCTGTGGGGCAGGAGAGGTCAGTGGGGCAGGAGAGGCCAGGGGTGGAGCTGTGGGGCAGGAGAGGTCAAGGGGGTCACCAGGAGGAGGTTGGGGGTGATCTTGACCCATTGACCCCACCCAGATCCATGGGGCAGGAGGGGTCAGTGGGGCAGGAGAGGTCAAGGGGGTCACCAGGAGAAGTTTGGGGTCAGCCTTGACCCACTGACCCCACACTGAGGTATGGGTCAGCAGAAGGTCAAGGTGGTCACTGTGGACAGATTATGGCCAGCCTTGACCCCTTGACCAAGGCGGTCACTCAACCTTGACCCCTTGACCCAGGTGGTCACTCAACCTTGACCCCTTGACCAAGGTGGCAGGACAAGGTCAAGGTGGTCACCAAGGACAGGTTGGGGTCAACCTTGACCCCACTGACCCACCTGGATCCATGGGTCAGCAGATGGCCAAAATGACCCTTGGAGACCCTTGTGGTCAACCTTGACCAACTCCCAGACCCGTGGTCAAAGTGACCCCTGGAGACCCCTGCGGTCAACCTTGACCCCACTGACCCACCCAGACCCATGGGTCAGCAGATGGCCAAAGCGCCCCTTGTGGTCAGTTCTGACCCCCTGACCCGCCCAGACCCGTGGTCAAAGTGACCACTGGAGACCCCTGTGGTCAGTTCTGACCCCCTGACCTACTCAGATCTATGGGTCAGCAGATGGCCAAAGTGACCCTTGTGGTCAGCCTTGACCCCACTGACCCACCCAGATCCATGGGTCAGCAGATGGCCAAAATGACCCTTGTGGTCAGCCTTGACCAACTCCCAGACCCGTGGTCAAAGTGACCACTGGAGACCCCTGTGGTCAGTTCTGACCCAGTGACCCACCCAGATCTATGGGTCAGAAGATGGCCAAAGTGCCCCTTGTGGTCAGTTCTGACCCCCTGACCCACCCAGACCCGTGGTCAAAGTGACCACTGGAGACCCCTGTGGTCAGTTCTGACCCCCTGACCTACTCAGATCTATGGGTCAGCAGATGGCCAAAGTGACCCTTGTGGTCAGCCTTGACCCCACTGACCCACCCAGATCCATGGGTCAGCAGATGGCCAAAATGACCCTTGTGGTCAGCCTTGACCAACTCCCAGACCCGTGGTCAAAGTGACCACTGGAGACCCCTGTGGTCAGTTCTGACCCAGTGACCCACCCAGATCTATGGGTCAGAAGATGGCCAAAGTGCCCCTTGTGGTCAGTTCTGACCCCCTGACCCACCCAGACCCGTGGTCAAAGTGACCACTGGAGACCCCTGTGGTCAGTTCTGACCCCCTGACCTACTCAGATCTATGGGTCAGCAGATGGCCAAAGCCCCCCTTGTGGTCAGTTTTGACCCCACTGACCCCTGCGGGTCTCCAGAAGCTCCCAGCGGCCGCAGTGTCCACTCGCTGCCCCCCCGGGTGACCCCGCTGACCCCCGGGTGACCCCGCTGACCGCCGGGTGACCCCGCTGACCCCCGGGTGACCCCGCTGACCGCCGGGTGACCCCGCTGACCCCCGGGTGACCCCGCTGACCGCCGGGTGACCCCGCTGACCCCCGGGCAGGTCGGTGGCCGAGGCGCTGAAGATGGGGACGCCGGTGGAGCCTGAGTACTTCGAGGAGGTGACGCTGTACTTCAGCGACATCGTGGGCTTCACCACCATCTCGGCCATGAGCGAGCCCATCGAGGTGGTGGACCTGCTCAACGACCTCTACACGCTCTTCGACGCCATCATCGGCTCCCACGACGTCTACAAGGTGACCGCGGCCGCGCTGGCCACCGTCATGGCGGTCACGGTGGTCACGGGGTCATGGTGGTCACCTCAGGATGGGGGTTGGGGTCAGTGGTGGTGGCCACAAGGTGACCACGGCAGTGGTCACGTGGTCACGGTGGTCACTCGGTCATGGGTGGTCACCTCAGGATGGGGGTTGGTGGTCACAAGGTGACCATGGCTGTGGTCACATGGTCACAGTGGTCACTCGGTCATGGAGGCATGGGTGGCCACCTCAGGATGGGAGTTGGGGTCAGTGTTGGTGGCCAAAACATTGCCATGGCAGTGGTCACGTGGTCATGGTGGTCACTCGGTCATGGGTGGCCACCTCAGGATGGGTGTTGGGGTCAGTGGTGATGGCCACAAGGTGACCACGGCAGTGGTCACGTGGTCACAGTGGTCACTCGGTCATGGGTGGTCACCTCAGGATGGGGGTTGGGGTCAACAAGGTGACCATGGCTGTGGTCACATGGTCACAGTGGTCACTCGGTCATGGGGTCATGGGTGGCCACCTCAGGATGGGGGTTGGGGTCAGTGGTGGTGGCCACAAGGTGACCACGGCAGTGGTCACGTGGTCACGGTGGTCACTCGGTCATGGGTGGTCACCTCAGGATGGGGGTTGGTGGTCACAAGGTGACCATGGCTGTGGTCACATGGTCACAGGGTCATGGTGGTCACTCGGTCATGGGTGGCCACCTCAGGATGGGGGTTGGGGTCAGTGGTGATGGCCACAAGGTGACCACGGCAGTGGTCACGTGGTCACAGTGGTCACTCGGTCATGGGTGGTCACCTCAGGATGGGGGTTGGTGGTGGCCACAAGGTGACCGCGGCTGCGGCCACGCCGTCACGGCGGTCACTCGGTCACTCAGGATGGGGGGTGGTGGTGGCCACAAGGTGACCATGGCAGTGGTCACGTGGTCATGGTGGTCACTCGGTCAGGGGGTTATGGGCATGGTCACCTCAGGATGGGGGTTGGGGTCAGTGGTGGTGGCTACAAGGTGGTGGCCACGGTCAAGGTGGCCCCATGGCCGTGGTCAAGGTGGCACCATGGACCTCCAGAGGTGACCTCATGGCCATGGTCAAGGTGACAACATTGAGCTGCTCAAAGTGGCCCCATGGCCATGGCCAAGGTGGCTCCATGCCCATGGTCAAGGTGGCCCCAGGGACCTTCTGGAGGTGACCTCATGGCCATGGTCGAGGTGGCCCCAGGGACCTCTAGGGGTGACCCCATGGTCAAGGTGGCCTCATTGAGCTGCTCAAGGTGGCCCCATGGCCATGGTCAAGGTGACCTCATGGCCATGGTCAAGGTGGCCTCATTGAGCTGCTCAAGGTGGCCCCATGGCCGTGGTCAAGGTGACCCCATGGACCTATAGGGTGACCCCATGGTCAAGGTGGCCCCATGGTCAAGGTGACCTCATGGCCATGGTCAAGGTTTCCCCAGGGACCTCTAGGGGTGACCCCATGGTCAAGGTGACTTCCTCGAGCTGCTCGAGGTGTCCCCATGGCCATGGTCAAGGTGACCCCATGGACCTCTAGAAGTGACCCCATGGTCAAGGTGACCCCACGGTCGAGGTGACCTCATGGTGAAGGTGACCTCCTCGAGGTGCTGGAGGTGTCCCCAAGGTGCTCCAAGCCACGCCCTTGGCAGTGCCCACCGAGAACGGACACGCCCACCGCACCAAGACCCCGACGCCCACGGGGCTGCGGGCGTGTCCCGGCGGGCGTGTCCCGGTGGGCGTGTCCCGGTGGGCGTGCCCACGCCCTGACCCGCCCCCGTGCCCGCCCCCGTGCCAGGTGGAGACCATCGGCGACGCCTACATGGTGGCCTCGGGGCTGCCCAAGCGCAACGGCAACCGGCACGCCGGCGAGATCGCCAACATGTCGCTGGACATCCTCAGCTCCGTGGGCACCTTCAAGATGCGCCACATGCCCGAGGTGCCCGTGCGCATCCGCATCGGGCTGCACTCGGGTAGGCCCCGCCCCCGCCCCTGGCCACGCCCCCGCCCCGCTGGCCACGCCCCAACATGCCATGGCCACGCCCCGGGGGGTGGGCAGAGGTTGGGTGATGGCGCCTTGGCCAACGGGCAGTGGGTGGGGTTGGGTGGGGCGTGGTGGCCACGCCCCTGGACACGCCCATTGGGCACGCCCAAGTGGTGAGCACTCAGTGGCCACGCCCCTCATTGGACACGCCCAAATTGTGAGCGCTCAGTGGCCACGCCCCTCATTGGACACGCCCAAATTGTGGTTGCTCTGTGGCCACGCCCCTCATTGGACACGCCCAACTTGTGACTGCTCAGTGGCCACGCCCCTCATTGGCCACGCCCAACTTGTGAGCGCTCAGTGGCCACGCCCCTCATTGGACACGCCCAACCTGTGATTGCTCAGTGGCCACGCCCCTCATTGGCCACGCCCAATTTGGGCAACGCTCAATGTGGGTGTGAGCCATTGGAGACATTTGGGACACTCCCCTTCTTGGACACGCCCCAAAGGCCACGCCCACTGTGACCACACCCTCATTGGCCTTATCCATATATGGCTATACCCATATATGGCCACACCTCATTGGCCACACCCACTGCAACCACACCCCCATTGGCCACGCCCATCTATGGCCACACCCACTGCAACCACACCCCATTGGCCACGCCCATTGTGACCACACGCATGTATGGCCACACCCCTCTATGACCACACCTCATTGGCCACACCCACTGCAACTACACCCCCATTGGCCACGCCCATCTATGACCACACCCCATTTGGCCACACCCCACTGGCCACACCCAACTCCTTGGCCAACCCTCAAAGCTCATCAACTGTTTACCCCGCCCCTTCCATGACCCCGCCCCTTGTGACTCCACCCCCCTATGCCCCCCCCCCCTTTAGGGGACAGGGCTGGGGACATGAGGACACGGGACACGGGACATGAGGACACGGGACATGAGGACACGGGACACGGGACATGAGGACACGGGACACGGGACATGAGGACACGGGACACGGGACATGAGGACACGGGACACGGGACATGAGGACACGGGACATGAGGACAGGGGACAGGGCTGGGGACATGAGGACACGGGACATGAGGACACGGGACACGGGACACGGCCATTGGGACTTTTGGGGTTTTGGGAGGGAGGGAGGGCTTGGTTGTTTTTTTTACATTTTCTGTGGTTTTGGGGTTTTTGGTGGGGTTTTTGTGGCATTTTTTGGGGGGGGGGTTTGGAGGTTTATATTGGGGATTTTTGGGGTTATTTTGGGGTCGGGGTCACTTATGGGGTTTTTGGGATTTTTTGGGTTTTTGGGGGTTTTGGGATCCATGGGGTTTTCTGGGGGTTATTTTTGAGTGGGTTTTTTTTTTTGGTTTTTGGTGTTTTTCCAGGTTTTTTGGTTTTTGGGGTTTTTTTCAGTTTTTTAAAGGTTTTTCTGGGGTTTTTTTGGGTTTATTTATGGATTTTTTGGGTTATTTTGGGGTGTTTTGGGGGTTTTTCTCTCGTTTTGGTGTGGGGTGTTGGGGCTTTTTTGAGGGTTTTTTGGGCTCTCTTGAGGATTTTTTTGGGGTTTTTTTGAGGATTTTTTGGGGGGGGGTTGGGGTTTTTTGGGTTTTTTTTCTGGGGGGGATTTTTTGGGGGTTTATTTCTGGATTTTTTGGGTTTTTTTGGGATGTTTTTGGGGTCCCAAACCCCTCTTTTCCCCCCCCGCCTATCGCATCCCCGTGACCCAGCGCACTGGGGGGGCTGCGGAGTCAGGGTTTTTGGGATTTTTTTTGGTTTTTGGGGGTTTTAGGATCCATGGGGTTTTTTGGGGGTTATTTTCATTTTTGGGGTTTTTTTTTTGGCTTTTTGGTGGGGTTTTTTTGAGATTTTTTTGGTGGTTTTTGGGGTTTTTTTTTCTTTCTTTTCATGTTTTTGGGAGGCTTTTGTGGGTTTTTTTGTGTGGTTTTTGTTTTCGTTTTTTTGGTGGTTTTTTGGGTTGTTTTGGGGGGGTTTTGGGGTCCCTAACCCCCCTTTTCCCCCCCAGCCTATCGCATCCACGTGAACCAGCGCACGGTGGCCATCCTGCTCTCGCTGCAGGAGGGCTTCAAGGTCGACATCCGCGGCAAGACCGAGCTCAAGGTGAGCCCAAAACACCCCAAAACACCCCAAAAACGCCTGAAAACCCCAAAGAGAGCCCAGAGCCGCAT